GGCAAAGGAAAGTGGGAATTAAAGGCATAATTGAATACGTAATTTTTAAATCATTAAGGGAATTTTGTTAATTAAATTATTATAAAAATTGTGGATATCGTGGGAAATAATAATGCAAGCTTGTAGCCCAAAACTACATTTGATCAGATTTTTTATTTGTTAATTAATATTTAGATTTATTATAATCCATTTTATATTTATTTTTCAAGAATTTTTATGATATCGTGATTTTACCCAATTATTATTGACATAGTTGTTTCTTTGATGTTAATTTATAAAAAAATTATTATAAAACTCTATTGTTACTGTTTTTAAGTGTTAACGCAAGTACAGATGTTATTATTACTGGTTTGATACATAATCTAATCGAAGGTAAAATGTTTTTGAAAGGTATTATAAAATATCTTTTCGTTTTATTTAAAAGATGTTAATGTTCGCTTATTTTGTACAAAGAAGATTGTTAAAATGAATTCATTAGTTCATAAAAAGTATGAATTCATAGTTCATAAAAAATCAAAGCTGAGTGATACATTGGCTCTTGGAAATCACATTCGCCATGTCATGTTGTCTTATCAACAATATATACGAGCAAACACAGTACTGGAAAAAGTTTAACCTGTTTATTTCAATGTCGGCCTTGTACACCCATTAAGGTTTATACCCTTGAATTTGTTTTGACCACCACTTTTACTAAAATCAGACAAATATACAACTTTCCATTAAAGAAAGTTTCCTTTCATTATTCAGAGCTACTGCACAATTAAAAGATTACTGTGATTTGTAATTTCTTTGAAAAATTTGTGTGTTTGACTTTAATACTATCTCTAATAATATTAATAATAGTAATATCTTCATGACATATATTAAGTCTAATAATGTCATAAAAGTAGCAAAGAAACAAAAAAATCATAATAGTAATGTAGATTGAAATAAAGTAAATAAAAAAATAGGAAGTAACAATTTAATTACTTCCCTCAATTAACTTCTCATCTTTTCCTATAATAACTACAAAATTAATTGTAAGAAAATTCAATAAATCAATTAAAAAAAAAGATTAAACTCAGAAAGTAACTTAAAACAATTTTACGTTCAAATTTTAAAACGTATCTCGATACCTTCGGTACAAGTCCTATTAAAAACATTGTTCACAATAAAATTAACAATATAATGAATTATCAATAATTACATTACCCACCGATACAGTAATCGCGTAATCACTCAGTATACTCTTCGAAAGGCAATTCGTATTAGTTTATGTATCAGCGAAATGGAACGGGAAGGGGGAAAACGGTTCGAAGAACAAATCCTTGGAACTATGGCCGCCGGTGAACGGGCGAACAGATACAGTGACAATCTTTATTAGCGAAAAGATCCATCGAATCCATTCCGAGGTGGACTGGCTAGATGTACAAAACAACTTTATCCAATGTTTCTCATCCCCCGATACGGGTTCAAGTGTACCGGACGGATTTAATGAAATGCAACGCTCCTCCTTAACGAGACTAGTTTCGAGCTGGACGTTTAACCACGTCTTTATTTCAATCTTTTGCCTGTTCTATCGGACCCGTCTAATCGGAGGAGAACGTTCGAACGGAACGTTCGTCGGAATCCGTGACGTTCGCTCGCGTTCGTGGTCACCGGAGTCCCCATTGAAACGGTACATCAGACTATTTTTCGATCGGTGCACAGCCTCTGTTTCTGCTCGCCGGTATTATCGCGATGAACGTCCACTTTGATCCTGGCATGCTCAATATCTGCTTGTTTTATCGGCGTGGTCGTCCGCCGAACAGCGCAGATTACGGGGGGATTTCTTGACGTTAAGATGAATTTATTGTTCGTTCCGCGGCCCTGTACAATGTTTTATCGATTCCCCGCGACGGCCAGCTTGCCCTGTCACCAGGTTTGATTAAAGAGCTTTCGAATAAGCGGTTGATATGAGGCTTTTCCTGGCTTTCCTTTTTCGTCTATGCCTCCGCGCGTTTCGCGATCCGTTGAGCAGAACGGTGAGTTGTCCACGAAGAATTTGTGGTGATTAACATTGGAACTGTCCGACGTGTCAAAACGATACACTTAAGATTTTTTTCTATGGTTATTAAAAAGATACGAATGTTTTTTGAGAAATTCCTTAACACGTTCGCCGTTACCATTTTTTTATGCGACGATCTTCTCAGTTGCGATGTTGTGTTCAATTCAGGAAATCTTGGGAATGAAATATTAAAAAACTAAGAGTGAAAAGGGATATTGCGTGCTTAAATATAATGTATATTATAACTTTAGATGACGATAACCTTACTATTAATCTTATTTTCTTCATACGAAGTGTAACGAATACGTGACATTGGTAGTGAATGGGTTAAATAAGAATTTGCGTTTTTTTTTTGGACTTATTTTTGGTATTGACGTATTGCGTAGTGGATAATTTTCAGAAAACTGAGCACTGTCTGGTGATTTTGAATGAAATTAACTTATATCATTATATGTAACAAACTTGAAATAACTTATTGATATTTAAAATATTTCAGACAAATAATCAATTTTGATGGAATTTAATACTTTTTAAATGGTGTGGTAATCAGCAAAGATACATAGCAGATATTTATATAAATATTATAATACTATAAATACTATAACCACTTTCCCTATCAAAGTTAGAAGATTAAAATCCAACATAAATATATAAGAGCGTTTTTATGTCCTTATAGCTATAAATTTTCGTGATTTCTAGGGTCTCTTTCACTATTCCATCTTTCCAAACACATTATTTCTAACGTACCTAACAATCGATCAACCAAGAAGACAATGAAAATGCGAAAGGAACGAGTCACCATACTAGAATTATAACTTTCAAACTCCTCCACCGTTTCCAGCTACAAATACAAGGAACAATTCCAAAGAAGGAACACGGTTCTTAACATCGATGAAAAATATTTAATTGAATCTCAAGATATATGTATACAAGAAAATGTTGATCGCGAAAGAATTAAAAGTATCAGCACCTCGTGAGAAAGAGGGGATGAGGGTGGCGATGATTGTGAACGCGGTGAAGCGGCAGCCCCCTGAAATCAAATCAAATTCCAATTTCCTCGTTACAAGAGGCTCGGACGGCCACGGAAAATGCCGCAAAAATCTTGCAGCTAACAAGATTAATCGGCTATTAAACGCATCCTCCTGCGAAATGGTACACAGTCAAGAGTGTATCAACCCCAGAGGAACGCATTCCTTTTGTACGGTACTAGTTACAGTGGCTCGATGGAAAAAAAAGGAACGAAACAGGGAACGATAGTAGTTAAGGGCTAAACCTGTTTCTCAGGCTCGCACAGCTGCTCCTGTATTTCGATCAAACGTCATCGGTTTTAATTAAGTCTCGAAAATGCCGATGAAATGGATCGCGTATGCGAATCACAGATTTCGTATGTACCGCGCGTATCGTGGACGATAAGCTTTGGAGCCTGTTGATTTTCCCCCCACTCTGATGTTATTGGCTTCCTCTTCGTCTCCGTTTCAGTTTGCTTTTCGAAAGAACCATTGGTAATAATTGATATTTACGTGTGTCGATTACTGTGGATAGTTAATTGCGACTACGAACGCACTTTAAGTAGTTTCCTTCCAAAAAGTCATTTAGATTGTTTACATGTTTTTTGGAAGAGAGACTATTGTGAGTCGACGTTATTGGATTTCAGGTGTTTCAGTGAAACGTTTTAAATAATAATATTGTTTTATAAAATAATTTTTTTATCGAATTGTGAACGATCTTTTAATTGTTTTTCAGTCTCGAAGTGAAAATAGATAGCTTTTCTTATATTTTGAGCGACAGGGGTGAAATATTTTTAATATTCCGAAACTGGTGAACTCAGTTTAATTAAGCTTCGTTTTAACTGAACAATTTCAGTTTTCTGTAGTCTTCTTTTGGATATTATTTCTTTTTCCAATATGTGTAGTCGTGAAATTACTATTATTTTTAATATTTATACTGTTTGTTATTATGATAATATGAATAATAGCATGTATAAAATATTAAAAAGATTTTAGAGAAATTTAGTCTGCAATATTAATTTTACTATTACGTCTTTGTACATACGTCATTTGGACGTATAATTCCATAATATAATTACACGTTTACTTGTAGGCTTAAACACTTGTTTCATAATCTTCTCTCATATAATAATATTCAACTGAATCAGATTATTGCTCACATGTTAGTTAAGAATACTAATCAACATAGTCCTTATATCAAACAAATTAATTCGATAACTTCCTGTTAACGTTAATTAACTATAAATGTGAAATTATTAATGGATAAGCTGTAGCCAGCACAAATGTAGCTTTAATTCGTTCGCTTCAGTTAACACGTTGATACACTTAACGCAACTGCAAAGGAATCGACAATGCAGTGATAAGTCCATACTTAAAGGTTAATTATTTATTCGTTATTGTCATATATTTAACACTAGGTTTACGGAACGCGTCAATTTGACGAACATTGAATTTTACAAACATTATTTAGTAAATGTTTCTGTTGATTTTCATTGATGCAGTAACACGAATGTGTACTCTAATCATCTAATCTTTAAACGTCCAACTTCTAAAATCTAAATGAACGAACATAAAATTTGTTAAGACGAATAGAATAAACTGAACAATAAATATCCGTAAACCTAGAGTTAAATAAAGGTTTATTCGAATAATGTCTAGCAATGGCAGAAATAAACGATCTACAATCCGAATCCCTGTCTAACGAAGTCGGCTCGTGTGGTCGATTCATTCTTCAGCTTTTAACCTTACCTACCCTTTTCCCGGCGTACGTTTCTGTAATTTAGATGCCGCGATAGCGTATTATGGAATAAAAAGAGAGGGAGGAGCGGTCGGCGTCGCGTGGCACTCGGCCGCTTCATTTTCTTCCCGAGAGGTATGCCCCCGCGCGCGCCGTCGGTCCGGGACGTGCTACAAGGTGATTTTATCGAAAGGAAGAGCAACTTTTTTCGATGTACAGCTTGACTTACCGAGCCGTAAAGAAGACCGCAGGAATCCATGCACAGGTACAGGCAGGTCGCGACACCTTGAATCCACAATTGACCTCTGGACACGGACGTTCTTTGAAATATCGCTGGAAAATAAAAAGAAGAAAAGTGGGGTTGAATATATAGAAGTTGTAGTAAAATGTTCTTGTTATGAAATGAAATTTAATCCTCTATTGTATTCCGTTTCCGATCGGAAACTTGCACAGAACATTTTTTTTTTATTTTGTACTTGTACATGTATATGTTGCCATATAGGAATAGTCATAAAATGTAATAAATAACATTTTTTATTAATATTTTCTTATTTATTTCATTATTACAGCAACATTTAAATAGAATAACAGCTGTGTATCTTTTTTTGCTTCCTCATAAAAATTCTTGCCATAGAGGGTTGAGGGGTTTATTTAACTATTAATTACGGAGATTGGTCTCGAAAATAAAAAAATTTAGCAATGTGCTTCGAAGAAATGGTTGAATAAATAGGATTAAAAAAAGATTGTTGACTTGTTTTTCTGCTTTAATTAATGAAGAACGTGCACTGAAAGAAATTATAAATAAAAGTTTTCTTATTTTGTAAAACAATGCTTTTACTGCATTTTAAGTTTAAGTTTGATGCAACAGAAATTGAAAAGTCAAGATTTGGAAACATTTCAAACTGTTAAAGGGTTGTTCGAAAATTTTGTGGCCCGATTTATAAAGAGAAAGTAACAATATATAGGTGAAAAATATGGTAATACTTAATACGGTAAGTTAAAATAATTTAAAACTAAAAATGTATAATTTATTTCTTATATAGCTATAATAATTGAGTATGCGACATTATATCAATTTAATTGTCTCCGATATATTAACAGAAATGATTGTAATAATCGAAATTCCTTCATTTCTTCGAAACAAACAGTGAACATGAGTAACAATCGATATTGAAAAATTACATGTTTGTTTTTCAATACTACGTTCAATATTTACGTGACAATAATCAAAATAACCAACAGCAGTATACCTTATAAATATTTGTATATAATTGAATTTTAGAATTTATAGAAAAAGTGAAGAAACATTAGAATCTTTGTTCAACCACAATAAATTCGATAATCTGTAATTCTTCACGAAAATCGAAAGTAACCAATTTCTAACTAAAATACACCTGACCCTCGATTTACGCACTTTTTCACGCAAGTCTCTTTCTTTCGCGATGAATTATATTTGAATTTAGTACCACAGAATAAAATGAACTTTCGTTTTAAAATATCATTATTATCAGTTCAATATACAAATATGTATTTATAAAACTGATACCAGCTTTTTCTTCGAATATTTTGTTTTCTCTTGCACCGACCGATCCTATTTACACAATTTTCATTCGCATAAAACGAATTCACGTGGAACAGATTTTCTCGTAAATCGAGGATCAGGTGTAATATACGCAAAAAATATTTTTCATGTATTCGTATCGATTTCCCAAGGCAATGTTATTTACGCCGCGTTATTAAAAAGCACGGCGCCACACAGGATTTACGAGCAGAGAAGGTAATCGCGCAGATTTTTAATTTCTATAGATAGGAAGTTCGGTAAAACCCTGCTTACATTTCTTTACTCCAATCCCTTAAATCACAGGAACTTCTCCCTGCAATAAATCAACTATCCGTGCCTATGAGTGCCCATATCAAATTTATTGCAGCTCAAAAACGCTGCCACGAACTATCTCTAATCGTCTAGAACACGGAACTAAGGGTGATTCAAGGCTCGCGAGGCCCGCCCCAATTTCCCGGTTATTCGCGAATCCACCGAGGCCATTTATTAAAATGCCCATCGAGAACGAGACGTTCCGGTTTTTCTGTTAGAAACTTTTCGCATGCTAATAACCAGAGATCCCATTCATCCTCGAGGGCCGGATGCTGACCGCTTCGACGAGCCGTTCCGGCTCGATTGCAGTGTAAGTCACTATTTTTCGCGGCAAGAAAACACAAAATACACATCCGAAACCATTTTTCACCTGGCATTTTTTTCGGTAAACCAGCCCGGTGCTCAAGGGTCTCGCAAGGCGAGGGTATCGATTATGGGAATTCGAAACACGCTATGGGATCAATAATCAAATGTTGCAACGATGAACGACGTTAAAGGCCAGCAATTATCGATAGCATCGTCGGGACAAGTCGTAAATAATATTCCTCCCTGTCCATGTTGTTACTTCGCAATTACATTTGCCGAGTGTCAAACCGATCGCATGTATTAGGCTCGGAAGAAGTTCTTTTGTTAAGAATGTTCGTCGACTGTCCGATTCAATTTAGGGCCGGTCGTAATTTCGATTGACGGTCAACAACATATTTATTGCAGCCTGCCAGGAAAACGTGCAGTTAGTCGAATTGTCGCGTAATAACTCGTTCGTGGAAGAGTTTCTTTTCGTATATACTGATTTTTCTGAGAAGCTTCAGGTACGGGGAATGTAAAAGGCATGGAAGAAGTATGTTGTTGTTTGTACTTTGTAATCAAGTTTACACAGAGTGTACGGCAACAGGTGCGAGAAAATTTATTGGATGATTACCCGTGACAATGTAAGATGAAAATCAAGAGTTTAATGGTATGTTTAGTATTATGGATTTGCATAAACATCTGTAGTGGGCCGATCCTGGTGTTTCGATCTGGGGTCATTGCTTGTGAGATGCTATTGATTGAAGGTCGTGTACAGTTTCTTTTAAAGAAAATTTTATTATATACAAGTATTTGTTACGATAATGCTTTTTATAGCGACAATATTTTACTATATTTATGAAAATTTTTTAAATTGCAGCAAAACAGCTGTTGATGTTTCATTTAATACTATGGGATCCTATGTTCAGGTAATCTGGGCATTCAATTTTACTACAATGGCTACATATTTCATTAATTTTTTACATACCAACAAAATTACATACCAACCCCCATAAATGCTCAATAGTTCTAGTGTTAATAGATTTTGTTAAATTACCTGTTGGTAAAAACAACTATACGCAAATGATCGGTAAAACTAATGTCAACAGCGAATAAACAAATAAAGTTCCCCTATTCCATAAAACTTCTTACACAAATCCCGCATAACTCAATCCTTCATTAACACTATATTTACAGAACGAGTCAAGTTGAGTCAAACAGAATTTTATAAACATTATTTGGTAAATATTTGGATCGATGTGGATCGATGCAGTTACGCAAATATGTATCGTAATTGTCCACCTTCCAAGCTCCAATTTCCAAGATCTAAATGAACGGATATCAATTTTACTAACGGGGGAACCTTTTGAATCAGCACACGTCGAGTTTAATGAAACTTATGCGAAACATAGTTTTCTTGAAAATATTTGACTCGTATTTTTTCTTATCGGCCAACATCCACTTTGAAAGGCTGAAAACACCCCTCAAAGTTGAGGGTTATAAGTATACTTTTTACAATATCTCTGCAACTGGGAGGTGTGGAAAAGAAATTTTCTTTTTAGATTGTTCGATTCAAAATGAACAATTTAGATTTCTTGTCTGTGCCCCCTAGTTTCAGGGATATTGTAAAAAACATATTTTTAACCCTCAATCTTGAGGAATGTTTTCACTCGTTCAAAGTAGATGATAAGAAAAAATACGTGTCGAATATTTTCTTGAGAACCATGTCTCACATCAGTTTCATTAAAATCGACGTATGCTGATTGAGAAGGTTCCCTTATAAGAACGATAGCACAAACTTTACAGTATATGTTCGTAAATCTAGCGTTAACGCACGCGATCGAAAATTCAGTTACAACGAACGTCGAAACGTTAAATGCCCTAACGAGCCTGTGAAGCAATACATGTATTCAAAAACGAAGTTGAACTCGTTACCGGCGGCCGTTCCTTTCCTTCGTCGCTAACGAAGCCAGGCTACATGAATATCCTTCCTCCGTTCCACAGGTCTAAGCGTTCTGCCGCTTATCTGAAGACTCGCCTTGAAGTGGACGCGATGCTGTCGTTACGATTAGACGAGCGCGATCGGTGCCGCGCAGCGTGAGCTCGTCGTGACACCTGCAGCATGTAAATCTCGTGAGCGTGTAAACACGGTAACGCGCGCGTGGTTGCCCTTTTTACTCTTATTTTTCGGCCTCCTACCACGTACTTACGCGCGATTAAATACGACACTCCGTTTTCTACGGCTCGAGCAACCGTGCTGGCCGACGTTCGTCCAAAACGAACGATTCTCGGATCTTCCATCGAAGAGGGAAGGGATGCGTAAAAGATGTCGCTGTATCGCAATTTATTACTGCGAATTGACGGCTTGTGCTTCCTCCGCAAAACCGTCCGACCGAGCCTGAGGATTCTTCGTTTTCTGTGACGCGTATGTGCCCTGTACCGATACGTCGATACAGATTGCCCCGAGATGCCGTCGCGCGACGAGAGTTATGTGGCACACCCGGATGCGACGTGAGATGTGATCTTCGAAGTCAATAATTTCATGGTTTTATCTGTAGGGACTTCATTTGGCCTTGCTGCATGGCGCGATTGAAGTTTTATGGAGACTAGGGCGGATTTTCTAATCTATATTGGATGTTCTGCAGTATTTAGTATGTGCACAGAAATGTGATCTTTCAAGTTAGCAACTTCGTGATTTTACCCGTAGAAACTTCATTTGGTTTTGCACTATGGGATATTTGAAGTTTTATGGAGATCAGGATGAATGTTTTAATCTGTATCGGATGTCTCGTATTATTTAGAAGTACATAAATGTGATACTTGCGACGTGAGATGTGATCTTTGAAGTCAATAATTTTATGCTTTTATCCGTAGAAATTTTATTTGGTTTTGCTCTACAGAATATTCGAAGTTTTATGAAGATTCGATACTTTGGAGTATTTAGAAATGCACAAATGAATTGTCTGGAATTTTGTACTTGATGTCAGAATGATTAGAATGTTCCTATAATTTTTTCTTATTTATTGTTGTTCTGTTACAGAATTAAATGGAACGAGTTCAACTTGCCATTTTTGTAAGAAAGGATTTATTGTATCGTGAGGTCGGAGAAAATTAAAATTCTTTATCAATATTTTCAAATTTAATATCAATATCTCTAAATAAAACAGTTCAAAAT